GAACTCCATTTTTTCTATCGAATGGGTGCAAGAAACCACCCATTTATGAAATTCAACTATCCAGTACAGTGGTCAGAATTTAGCAATTTTGCCAATTTCACACAAATTTCAAAAGATGCCAATTTCCGAATAGGGTCCAGAATAAACAAGAAAGACATTCCTGGCACTAAAATGACATTTCCTCTAGTCATTAGTCACGTCTCAAGGCCCCTCTTATATTCTTTTGCTTTCCACTTTGAATTTTTATTCTCACAAAAAATATAAGATTACTGTTATGCAGACTACTGCATTAGTGTAAAAAATGGTATAAATATTATTGGTGCACTTGTGAAAGAATATTAGACTCACCAGTTGACGTGTATTGCACGCTTGGCACGATTTGTTTACTTTTGAAGTTTGGTAAAAATCGAACATTTCTGCTACTTTGAGCTCAATTTCAAGGCACCTTTCATTGTAAAACCAGTCAAAATCATCTCAATTTCTGTAATATGTCTTCCATTCTATAAAATGAGACCAAGAAAACTAGAATACAACAATAAATACCATACGAAAATACAGTGCAAAGTCGCTGATTTATTCCAAAAAAATGGTCAAAGATTTTTTTTTCTCATTATGCACTGTGTGCTGCAGGATTTTTTTTAGACTGTGCACACTGACCACATAGACCCATTCTTTCATATGAAGGCCTACCAGCTTTCTCCCACTAGATTTGAGGCCGCTAGAATTTATGCGTACTAGTACGTCAATAACCCCTACGCGTAAGACGTACTAGTACGACCAAAACCCTCAAAGGGTTAATTGAGCTATATGTATAGAGAGATTTGGTAATAAGTAATGCATATTTTATGAAAAAGAGGATGGATAAATAAATATACAAGGTATGATACAGCACGAAATGAAAGTAGTTTGTTAGATTATGTATTGGTGGATAAAAGGTTGATGGGTAGGCTCCAGGCTGTACACGTTTATAGAGGAGCAACTGATATATCGGATCATTATCTAGTTGTAGCTACAGTTAGAGTAAGAGGTAGATGGGACAAGAGGAAAATGGCAACAAGAAGTAAGAGGGAAGTGAAAGTGTATAAACTAAGGGAGGAGGAAGTTTGGGTGATATATAAGCAGCTACATGTATTGGCAAAAAGGTGGCCTGGTGCAAGTATGAGTAGTGGGGGGGAAGGGGGGAGGTTTGCAGAGAGTTGGAATAGTTTTAAAAAATGCAGTATTAGAATGTGGGGCAGAAGTTTGTGGTTATAGGAGGGTGGGTGCAAGAGGAAAGAGGAGTGATTGGTTGGAATGATGAAGTAAGGGTACAATAAAAGAGGAAAAGGTAGCTTATGAGAGGTTTTTACAAAGCAGAAGTGTTATAAGAAGAATAGAGTATACTGAGAGTAAAAGAAAGGTGAAGAGAGTGGTGAGAGAGTGCACAAGGAGAGCGGATGATAGAGTGGGAGAGGCACTGTCAAGAAATTTTAATGAAAATAAGAAAAAATTTTGGAGTGAGTTACACAAGTTAGGAAAGCCTAGGGAATGAATGGATTTATTTATTTTTTATTTTTTTTTTATTATCACACTGGCCGATTCCCACCAAGGCAGGGTGGCCCGAAAAAGAAAAACTTTCACCATCATTCACTCCATCACTGTCTTGCCAGAAGGGTGCTTTACACTACAGTTTTTAAACTGCAACATTAACACCCCTCCTTCAGAATGGATTTGTCAGTTAAAAACAGAGTAGGGGAGTTAGTAGATGGGGAGATGGAGGTACTGGGTAGATGGTGAGAATATTTTAAGGAACTTTTAAATGTCGACGAAGAAAGGGAGGTGGTAATTTCATGCACTGGCCAGGGAGGTATACAATCTTTTAGGAGTGAAGAAGAGCAGGAGATGAGTGTGGGGGAGGTGCGTGAGGCATTACATAGAATGAAAGGGGGTAAAGCAGCTGGAACTGACGGGATCATGACAGAAATGTTAAAAGCAGGGGGGACATAGTGTTGGAGTGGTTGGTATTTTTGTCTAATAAATGTATGAAAGAGGGGAAGGTACCTAGGGATTGGCGGAGAGCGTGTATAGTCCCTTTATATAAAGGGATGGGGGACAAAAGAGATTGTAAAAATTATAGAGGAATAAGTTTACTGAGTATACCAGGAAAAGAGTACGGTAGGGTTATTATTGAAAGAATTAGAGGTAAGACAGAATGTAGAATTGCAGATGAGCAAGGAGGTTTTAGAGTGGGTAGAGGATGTGTAGATCAAGTGTTTACATTGAAGCATATATGTGAACAGTATTTAGATAATGGTAGGGAAGTTTTTATTGCATTTATGGATTTAGAAAAGGCATATGAAAGAGTGGATATGGGAGCAATGTGGCAGATGTTGCAAGTATATGGAATAGGTGGTAAGTTACTAAATGCTGTAAAGAGTTTTTATGAGGATAGTGAGGCTCAGGTTAGGGTGTGTAGAAGAGAGAGAGACTACTTCCCGGTAAAAGTAGGTCTTAGACAGGGATGAGTAATGTCACAATGGTTGTTTAATATATTTATAGATGGGGTTGTAAAAGAAGTAAATGCTAGCGTGTTTGGGAGAGGGGTGGGATTAAATTATGGGGAATCAAATACAAAATGAGAAGTGACACAGTTACTTTTTGCTGATGATACTGTGCTTATGGGAGATTCTAAAGAAAAACTGCAAAGGTTAGTGGACGAATTGGGGAGTGTGTGTAAAGGTAGAAAGTTGAAAGTGAACATAGAATAGAGTAAGGTGATGAGTGTATCAAATGATTTAGATAAAGACAAATTGGATATCAAATTGGGGAGGAGTATGGAAAGTATAGTAGTACCAACACTCTTATATGCGTGTGAAGCTTGGGTTGTAAATGCTGAAGCAAGGAAGCAGTTGGAGGCAGTGGAGATATGTCCTGTCTAAGGGCAATGTGTGGTGTAAATATTATGCAGAAAATTCAGAGTGTGGAAATTAGGAGGTGTGGGGTTAATAAAAGTATTAGTCATAGGGTTGAAGAGGTGGTTTGGTCATTTAGAGAGAATGGATCAAAGTAGAATGACATGGAGAGTGCACAAATCTGTAGGAGAAGGAAGGCAGGGTAGGGGTCGTCCTTGAAAAGGTTGGAGGGAGGGGGTAAAGGAGGTTTTGTGGGCGAGGGGCTTGGACTTCCAGCAAGCGTGCATGAACATGTTAGATAGGAGTGAATGGAGACGAATGGTATTTGGGACCTGACGAGCTGTTATAGTGTGAGCAGGGTGATATTTAGTGAAGGGATTCAGGGAAACCAGTTATTTTATATAGCCGGACTTGAGTGCTGGAAATGGGAAGTACAATGCCTGTACTTTAAAGGAGGGGTTTAGGATATTGGCAGTTTGGAGGGATATGCTGTGTATCTTTATATGTATATACTACTTCTAAACTGTTGTATTCTGAGCACCTCTGAAAAAACAGTGATTATGTGTGAGTAAGGTGAAAGTGTTGAATGATGATGAAAGTATTTTCTTTTTGGGGATTTTCTTTTTGGGTCACCCTGCCTCGGTGGGAGACGGCCGACTTGTAATTCCTAATCTTATGTAACCTGTTGTTTCCATCAGGCCTTGTTTTGTCTGAGAAGCGTAGTATAATATGTACAGTAGGAGAAATCAGTTCACTGGCATTATATAGCTGAAAACTGGGGTTGAAATTAAGCAGTCTGTTGACCAGTATGACTTGACATTGTGCTTCTACACGTGGCACAAGCATTAGCACAATCGGTGAAACAATTGTGTTTGTCATGGTGTAACTGAAGTATATGTTACTTTCCCTGACAATAATTTCCATCGGGGTTTATCAAAGAATAACTCGAAACACTCCAATTCAGTGGCATTGTTCCCAAGTGTACATGATGGTCATACTCCACTTTAAGTTTCATCAAAGTGATGGGATTGGGAACAAAACTGGCACCCAACTGCCAATCCCAGATGTGGTCTGCTGGTGAGTACTGGATATTGACAGGGGGTTGTGGTTGTCCAGGTTATTGTGGTGTGGGGGTAGTAGAGGGTGGCCTTTGTTGTGGACATGCTGAGTCAGCAGTGTAATTCCTAGCCTGGGGTGTTGCTAGTGCTGCATGACGCATGGCACCACCACCTACTGCCTCATGTATATTCTCCATCCCAGTTGTAACAATATATATCATCTTCACTTTCACTATTTGTTCCTGGTGTGGGCCATGGGATGTACTCCTTCCCCTTGGAACAGGATATGGCACACTACCAGAATGCATGAGGTGTCATATAAATTGACACTTCACTGGAGAATATTCCTCTTCACTGTCACTACTGGAATTGTAATCAGGAGCCTGGAAATCACAATCAATATCACCATCATCACCAATGCTCACATCTGAGTTCTGGATACAGGAAAATATGAGTTTCCTCTTTTGCTCTGGTACAACTGAACATGAATGAAACAGCACAGCCCCAAAAATGGAAGGTTGAGGGTCATCGGGGTTTTTAGAACTATATCCAGTATCCTGGGCATTGAGTTCAGTCACAAACTCCTCAAAACCATGAAATTCATCTTCACTGACACTTCCATCTGAGTTAGAGCTAACACTTGGAAAGAGAAGCTTCCCAAGCGAGTGAGGTATTTCTTACCGAGAGGCATGGTGAATAAGGCATACTGCAATGGCATTCCCACAATGCACTGTGCACACTAACCAAGCAGATTCATTCTCTCACAAGTAGGCCTACCAGCTTTCTCCTGCGAGATTTGAAGCCGCTAGAATTTTGGCATTGTATTACGGGACCAACATTGGCTTCAAAGTCATGATATAATGGGACCAACAACACCAAAAGGGTTAAACAAATGCAAAGATTTCTCTTAACATTTGAATCCCTTGATATTTTTAATGGCAGATCTGTGACCTTTAAATTATATACAAGAACCTAAAAGAGTAAAGGATTTTTAACCATTTTAAGTACAAAAATAATTTAATGATTATTTCACTAGCATGCCAAGACTTACCTGTGAATGTGAGTTGTGTGTGTTGCCACTGCTGCCTGAAACTCAGGGCTCATAATACTTTCTGGAGCAGGAACAAACTTGCTGGACCCAGTCAACTGACTGCTGTGATCTGCAAATATTAATCTACATCTTAGTGTATCCTTACTTGCACACAAGATTGAAGCTATACTTAACTATATATCATATACAACATGATAAACTAAATAAGGTAAGTAAAAAAGTTTCATAATACAGTCATTTTTAATGAATGTGTATTGCAATGTATAGTTGATCGGAATTTAAGTTACAATATAATTTCAGCAAATTTACCAGAGAGGTGCTTCAAAGTATATTGCAATACCTACAAAATTCTGTATTTTAAAATAAAATGAGGAAAATTTTAAAAATCTATATAACTGTAGCATACAAAATTTAAAAAATATGTATTAACTTCATTGTGAAACTGGCTAAAGGCTGTGCAATGCAGAGTTTAATAAGAGCACGTGTCAGCTACACTACTTGGTGAGGGTGGAAATATTACACAAGAAACTATTCACAAGACTCCACTCTCTAAACATACTACATACTGCAATAACAATCACATTTCACATCTGTTTAAGAACTGTACATCATAATTTGGAAAGCAAGAAAAGTAAAGAAATAGGAATCAGGACAAACAAGAATACAAAACCTCTTTTTAAACACATTAAAGAATAACACTGAATAAATATTTTTCATTAATTGAGAAAACAGAGAAGTGCTTTGTAAATTTTGGAAACAAGTGTACAAATGTTTCCTCCACATACATTTCCCCAAAAGCCTTTGAACTTATAAATTAGAGAGTGGAGTGTATTAAGTAACTAGCAGTGAATCCTGAGGTGATGGTACAACAGTGCAATAAGAAATGTGTACCTTGGTGCTCAACGTCTTCTACCACCAAATCATTCTCGTCTCCAAAGAGGCTGGTGGGTCGTGGGTGGCTGTGGGGTAGAGGATGAGACACATGCTCCCCCCATGCCTCAGCCTCCCCATTGGTGAGATGGCCCAAGTCCAAGCTGCGAGTCATTAAGCTGTTACTAGAATCTTGATGTGCTAGGCTGCGTGCCAGTTGTTCTGGACCCTGGCTCTGTGTCATGGGATCAAATTCCATTGAATATTTTAGCTCTTCCTCTCCCATAGACTGGGTCATTGGGTCCACACCCAGGGAACGAGACAGCTGCTCAGCTCCCAAACTTCGTGACATGAGATCAGTTGATCCCCGGGGTGCAGTACCAGCTAGTTGAGATAAGATGGCAGGATCCATGCTCTGCGTCATGAGGCTTGGGGTATCAGGTGTACGCAGGTCCCCCCCATACAGGGTGTTGGACAGCTCTACATGGTAAGAATTGGCTTGCTGAGATCGTGAACCAGACTCATTTCTGGTGACTGCAGAGTGGGAGTGTGTGCGGCGGTGGCACTCACGGGCTGGAGCTGACCGTGAGGGGGCTGTGGGGTAAGGGGAAGTAACTACTACTGGCCAAAAGGTTTAACTACAATGCTGTACAAATTATTTATGCAGAGCAATATTACACTTAGACTAGATTCTATGCTTGTCTAACAATAATGCCTTGTTGTTAAATCATAGCATGGTTATTTTCATATACATACTTCTTCATAAATATTCACACAATCCTGGAATTCATAACAAGAATGAAATATACAGTAATATGGACTTTCAAGATATAAGACTAATTTTTAAGTCTTTAAATAACGATCATGTAAAAAGCTGTTCATTATGGCCAATTTTCAACTACATTTCCAAATACTAAAATTCAACTTTCAAGAATATTTAAAGCTTACATTCAAAATCTTAACTCAAAAGAAATAGAAAAGTCAGTTCCAAAATGGATGTTACACATAAATATCTGCCATTGTCTTGACATTGATTGTAAACTGGCTTTTCTTTCATCCCTTGTCCAGTATTTCTTCAGGATATTGTTGCATATAGTTAATTTTTCATTAAATGTTTTTTATGTAAAACAGTACTACTAAAGAGAACATTATATGGCTTACAAGATTTCTTCTGAATGAGAAAGTTAAAATTTGGATAGCATTCCATGTACAAAACTGTTCCCTCTTTCTACATAAAACATAATTTCCTTCTCCTGCTGGTTTTATATTAACTTTTAAACATTCACCTCTTTATGTATCTTATAGACTTACAGAACATTGTACAGTATACTGTATTTTTATCATTTCATCAAACAGACCAATACTTTCACAATATTTTATAGGGTAATAATTCTTGCGTGTGTTACTTTTTCTTCTCCTTTTTTTAAAGTCTTTTCTTGCAAATTAAATTTTGTAACTTGTACAATATCTGCTGTTAGTATGCAAAATTTTAAGCAAGCCTGGTCAACAGGCTCTTTGATTGCTGTTTTGGATTAATGTCCATGAGAAGAAAAATGAGTAAGAGGTGGCAGTGCAAGTGCTAAATCACCTCTATACATGCAAACCTTATAAAAGAAAAAATCAACACACTCTTCAAAAACAAAATGTGTCTGGAAAGGTACAATACAAGTGTCTCAAACTTCAAAAATATTGTGAGAACAAAAGCCTGATACCAAATAGAAAAATACACTATTAACTCATTGAGGGTCCAAACACTCAATCTGAAAAGTGTCTACTGGATCTAAGAATTTTCAAAAAAAAAAAAAAAAAAAATGTTATTTTTTCTTATGAATCTTTATCTGAAGGCAATAAAACAAAAATTATGAAATTTAATAGAAAACTGACAAAATTACGCTTTCACTAATTATGCTCTCTTAGTGATATTTACGCATTAGCGATTTTGCCCACTTTGAGTCCTATTTTAGGTCAATCAAATTGTTCCAGTTGACCAAATTATAAGCTATTTTGCTAGTATGCTTTCCATTTTATTGATTGAGCACAAGAAACCCCCCAATCAACTATTTCAACTACTCAAAAAAGTGATAAGAAACTGGGTAATTTGGCTAGATTCACACAAATTTCAAAATAAGGTCCAGAATAAACAATGCAGGCATTCCTGACACTAAAATATTTCCTCTGTTCATTAGTTATTTCCCCACACTTTATACATGAATTCCATTTTGATTTTTTCATTCAAAAAGAGTTTTTATTTACACACACACACACACACACAAAAAAAAAAAAAAAGATTTACTGTTATGCAATACTGTAAGAATTGTATAAATAACATAGGGGTATTTGTGAATGCATATTAGACCCACCAGTTTATGTGTATTGGATGCATGATGTGATTTGTTTACTCCTCAAGATCAGCAAAAATCGAACATTTCCACAACTTTGAGCTCAATTTCAAGCTATTTTCAGTCCTAAAACAACTTAAAATCATCCCCATTTCTATAATATATCATCCATTGTATCAAATGAGACCAAGAAACCGAGAATACAACCATGAAAACCATATGAAAATACACCGCAGTGGCTGTTTTAAGCCAAATACAAGTTCACAGTTTTTTCTCATTATGCACTGTATGCTGCAGATTTTTTTTTATATGGTGCACACTTACTGCATAGACCCATTCTCTCATATCTAGGCTCAAATTTGCCACTCATAGCTTATCTGAGTGAGCTGAGCTCATCACATAGTACTACTGACTTTAAACCCATAGAACAATGGCTCAGACCTTCAAGGGGTTAACCCTTTGACTGTCGAAGGGCCCAATCCTGAAGTTGCTCCTGGTGTCGCAAAATATTCGAAAAAAAAAAAATTATTTTTTCTTATGAAATGATAGAGAATCTTTTCCCGATTGTAAAGACACCAAAAAAACGAAATTTGATGGAAAACTGACGAATTACGCTCTCGCGAAGTTAGCGACTTCGGCGATATTTAAAAATCGGCAATTTCGCCCACTTTGAGCCCTATTTTCGGCTAATTCCGTTATTCCAGTCAACCAAACTCATAACTATTTCTTCAGAACTCTATTTTTTCTATCGATTGAGCACAAGAAACTGCCCATTTACCGATTTCAACTACCCAATAACATGGTCAGAAATTTGCAATTTGGCCAATTTCACGAAAATTAAAAAATACGACAATTTCAAAATAAGGTCCAGAATGAACAATGCAGACATTCCTGGCTCTAAATAAGATTTTCTTTGTTCATCAGTCATGTCTCCAGGTCCCTGTGATATTACTCTTGCTTTTTATTTTGAAATTTTATTCAAACAAAAAATAGAAGATTTACTGTTATGCAGACTACTGCAATACTGTAATAATTGTAAAAATTACATCAACCCATTCATGACTGCGTATTAGAATGGCTATTTGGACATTTATTGGACAATGACATCATTTGTTTACTTTTGAACATCGGCAAAAATCAAACATTTCCTGTACTTTGTGCTCCATTTCCAGGTTCTTTTTATAGTAAAATTAATCAAAATCACCTCCATTTCTATAATATAGTTTCCATTCTATCAAATGAGACCATGAAAACGAGAATACAACCACAAATACTATACGAAAATAGACCACAAAGTCGGCATTTTAATTAAAAAAAACGGTCAGAGTTTTTTTTTTTCTCATTATGCACTGCGTGCTCCAGGATTTTTTTTATGTGGTGCACACTGACCACACAGACCCATTCTCTCACATGTGGGCCTACTAGCTTTCTCCTGCCTGATTTGAAGCCGCTAGAATTTATGAGTATATATACGTCAAACACGGTACCTCACAAACGTATATATACGGCCGGGACAGTCAAAGGGTTAACCCACAATTTGGACATTTTGATCCAGGATGGACCAATGTTGTCTAAAGTTTCCTTTTTAAATTATGGGTTAATAGTGAACTGATGATAAAATACGTAGCAAGGAACACTAGTAGATTCTTCAAAGCAAAGATGTCTATAAAAGCTTACCCAAAGCTAAGGTATACTGAGAATACAAAATTAAAAAATATAATTAAATTTGTAAGAATTAAAAAAGATATATATCTAATTAGTTATGACTAATTAAAAAAATAGGCAGATGAGAAGGCATTTCAAAATTATGTTTTTTTTTTTAATTACAAATCCAAACCAATGTCTGATTTTTCAACATCACTTAAAATTCGAAACAGAAAATTATGTTTGAACTCAGAGAACACATAACAGATTTCTTGGAAAAACCCTACCTTGTGCTCAGTCAGCCCAATCTGTAGTCATGAGCGACACAGTAGGGTCCCACTTTATGGCGTTTCGCTAATACGGGCAGTTCAAATTACAACGAACTCGTTATATGGCTCCCTCCCCCCCTACCTTGCTCACTAATATTGCCTCTGAGCACCACTGTTTGTTTACATCCTCCATAAGCTCTGCATATCTCTATTATGTCTGGAAACTTTCCAAAATTTCAAGTGTTTCAGAGTTATTGCATACAGCAGAGCCCTGGATTTTGTACTTAATCCATTCCAGCAGGTCATTCTAAATCCAAAAAAGTGCGAAAACTAAAGTAATATTTCCCATGAGAAATAATGTAAATACAATTAATCTGTTTCAGACACCCAAAAATAGTATTAACAAAAAATACATTTTTTAAAAAATACACGTACAGTATTACATACAGAAAACAATGAGAAATAAATATAAAGCACTAATGAAATGGATAAATGAACATTTAACATCACCTTTATTGAAGACTCTTGTTGGCATATGGAGGGAGGAGAGTTGTTTGGAGACAGGACAAAATACTTAAATATGATGCTAATATCAACTCTACGGCTTATTTATCTATCAAAATTCATGTAATACGACATAATAAACAATATTAATAATACAGAAACATGATATATACTCTAGAATGAATAAAATATGTTATTACGTATGTGACTAGTGGTGGTGGTGTTGATGTTATTGGGTTTATCAGGGCCACTGACAGCATAAGCTGTATAGTGGTGTGTGGCCACCACCACCACTAAACACTACTAGTCACACTGAAACACCACTAGTCACACTGAAACAATGTATGTAATTTATAAATAAGAAATATTGTACAAAAACATAATAGAGAATGTAAAGAAATAAAGTGGTTATTGAGATGCTGGCAAAGGTTTAGGGTGGTGGAAGATACGCAGGGCAGCATATGTTGTCAGTGGCCCTATATACCTCCAACAAAATTGGAAGATTAAGTTTCATGTCATCCTTTTTCTATCGCTTAATCGCTTAACTTACTTGTTACACTGTTAATGCTACACTTTATCACTGGCTGGAGCTACAGCCTTTATCAACTCCTGCTGCTTCAGTATCGTGCATATTATAGAAACACTGAATCATTGAAGAAGGCACATTCTCCCCTCTCTCTCTCAGCCCTTTACCAAAGGGCTGGTACTAAGAACTTTCTTTGGGCCCATGGTGGCTGATTTCAGTCACAATCAATAAACAAGCACAAAAATTGCGAAAAGTTTTGGATAAATGCTCACTCAACCAATGACAGAGCCAGACTGAAGCAGTGTCCTAGTG